TTTATTTTTTATATATATATATATATATATATATATAATATTAAAATATATTATTTACAAATAATGTTTTAAATAGGCTATATGTCAGTTTATACTTTCTTTATACTGTATAAACGTAGTAGACATCTGTATAACTTTACTCATTATATCATATTTATCATCCACAAAATATACAAAAATATACAAAATATATCATCCAGACTTCATTCTAAACCAATGATTTGTGAGCTATATATAGTTCTTAGATGCATTTTTAGTTATTTTGTCACATATGTGTCTTTGCGTGACTTACAATTGCCACACAGCTCACAAGCCATTAGTTTAAAATGAAGTCTGGGCATTTAACTCTCATTAACCTTAAAACCACACCTTCAGAAATATTGTGTAATTCAGTGCAAAAGTCCGAATAACTGGCAAATTCAGGGCTATTTACTGTGCTGTTTTCTGTTTATTTACTCTGTAAAGCCATCACTTTCACCCTCAAATTGCAGAAAAAAAACATTATGTTGATAAATGTGCACACAATCTTTTCCCAAATACCACAGAATGCAACATTTGATGACTTTCTGGGTTGTTGATTTATGATTTGTGCAGCACTTTTAGCATGTTTGGATGTTATGGATTCCAAGGTGTTTTCAAGATCGATTTATGATTGTTTGGATTACTTAAAAAATGTGTGTAAATCTTAATGACAAAAAATGTGTAAATAATTTCCTTGTGTTATCTATTGATTGAAGCTGTTGTAAATTCATGGTCTCTACTATGATTCCTAATGTGAGCTGGGATTAATCCATGGTACTTAATAACCTCGGTTTAGTGGACCTTGAGCTTGACCTGCTTTATTTGTAGGTTAATAGGCTGTGAATTAGGGTGAGGACCTTTTGTTACACACAGCTGATACCTGTAATGAATGAACACAAATTGCAGTCAAAGGTCCTTAATCTAAATATAAGGCTTACAAGCCCTAAAGGCTCATGGACCATCTGGTCTCCACCCCCAATGAACTTGTAACGTGAAGTCAAACAAAGACATTTCAGGATTTTCAGGCTGTTATGTACTGGTTTGATTGACACATAATTATTTAAATCTCTTTGCTTTATTTAGGAGAGTAAAGTAGAGTGGGCAAGTTGCTCGGAAGTCACTTGGCAGTCATCTTGGTCTATTTCCAAGCACAGCTCCTAAGAAAAAATTAATTCTCAGAAACTGTTTGTGAAACGCAAAGTATGGGTAATGCAAAGGTTTAGAGATGGAGCACAAAAGTTTTGCAAGGGAATGTAAGGCTTTATGAATGAACGCAACATTTTTCAGGGGAACGTGAACATTTTTCAGTTAAATACGAAGTTTCTTGGGGAACGCAAACATTTTGTGTGTAAACGCAGTGTTTCTTGGGGGAACGCAATGTTTTTTCCCATGAACCCAAAATTTTATATTGAAACACACAAAGTTGAAACCAAAGTTTCTTGAAGGAACACAAACATTTTTAAGTGAAAGCAGAGTTTATTGGATGGATATAAATGTATTTTCAATGTTTTCCAAGTGAACACAAAGTGTCTCAGGGGAAAGTAAATGTTTTGTGAGCAAACACAAAGTTTCTTGGGAAACGCAACCATGTTTTGAGTGAATGCAAGGTTTTTTTGGTGGAATGTAAATCATATTTCGAGGTTTCTCCGTGGAAAGCAAAGATTTTGCAAGCAAATGCAAAATTTCTCAGTGGAACACAAAGATATTTTTCAAGCAAACACAAATTTTCTCAGTGGAATGCGAAGATATTGCAAGCAAACGCAAAATTTTTAGTGGAAGGTGAAGATATTGCAAGCAAACTCAAAGTTTTTAGTGGAACGTAAAGATTTGCAAGCAAACACAAAGTTTCTCAGTGGAACACGAAGATATTGCAAAATGCAAAGTTTCTCAGTGGAACGCAAAGATATTGCAAGCAAACGCAAGGCTTTTAGTGGAACGCAAAGATTTGCAAGCAAACGCAAAGTTTCTCAGTGGAACG